AAATAGGGTGTCCCATTTAAAAAAACCATCGTGACCTTGAAATGACCTTCAAAATTGACCTCAAGGTCAAAACTAATGGTACAATTAAATGACCCCCTCTGTCCTGGTCAACTTTTATTTAAACCATTTTTTTGTAGATACCGTAATTTGGAAGATATTCGGGTCCATATATTAAAATGACTCATCCTGTATATAGTATTAGTATTATATTTTAATGTACACTTTTTTTTTTAAATTTATTATGTGTATTACTATTATTGTACTTTCATATATATCGTATGTTTGATACATTTCTACGTAGTATTAGTATTTTAATTTACACTTTATATATCATACGTTTTAACATTTATATACGTATTATATACTAGTATTTTAATTTTCACTTTATATAACATAAGGATTTACATTTATATACATATTATATGTATTACTATTATTTTTATGTACACATGTATGTACGTATTCTATCTCTATATGCATTGTTAAAAAATAAAATAAAATAGAATAAAATAAAATAATGTATTTTGTATCATTATGTATGTATTTTGTATACTCTAAAATGAAGATGAATGGGGAGTAATAAAAAGAAACGTTTATATACTTATATAGATATATATTTTTTATATGTAGAACAAAAAAAATACATGAATCAAAATTGTATCAAATCACATTGTTTTTATGTATCCACAAATTGTGCGATCCATCGAATCCCAGCCACTTGACGTACACCTTGTCTCCCTTCCTGCGCAGTACTTTTTCCACGAGATACACATCCGGATGAGTAGCACGATGCAACTCGTGCTCATAGAACGCTCCAACGACAGATTTTCCGCGGTAGTCCTCGAGTAGATAGGTTACGGGATTAGTACGTTGCACCTTAACGATCGTAAACACTTCGGTGGTCCAATTTGGCGTGTAACCCTTCTCAAAAACCGTCTTGTACTTGCTCATGCGTACCGAATCGCCTACTTTGAATTTTGCCGGACCTGCGATCTTTATCGCGCTGTACCCTGTGTCCAAGAGTCTTTCGGTGATCGCGGGAGTTACGTCGGCGGATAATTGCCGTTGAGCGTAAACATCTTCCACATATCATTCTTGATCGTGCGATTGAACCGCTCGACCACTGACGCTTTCAACGTCGAATACGTGGAATAGTAATTAACGTTGTGTTTTTTCAAGATTTTCTGCACATCGGCGTTGTAAAATTCCTTTCCCATATCCGTTTGTAAATTTTTCGGACATCTTCCACTCGCTCGAACGATCTCAGCGATAGCCTCAGCCGTCTCGCTTCCGCCCTTGCTCTTGAGTGGTACGGCCCACTTGCTCAACACATCGATAACGGTGAGTATGTAGTGGTGGCCTCTGTTGAAGCTCGAGTACGGGCGCATCTCAACGATATCAGCCTGCCACAGATCATCGTATCCCTGGACTATGACGCGCCTTCGCGGAAAATTTCTTCTCGCCGGAGCGTGCAATTCGTCGACGAGCCGACGTCTCTCGGAGTTAACTTTTTTCTTTTCGTCGGATCTCTTTTTCATGATTCGATGCGTAATACACAGAATATAAGAAAAAAAAATGTATTTTTTTCTCGCTCACTCGACTGACTCGTTTCGTTGATACGCGATTTAATTTATAATAAGACCGGCTTCGCGGAGTTCCTCGATGATCGACAGCATCTCGTTGCCGTGAGTGTTGTTCCCTGCTCGGTGCGAAGCGTCCAACAATCGTAGACGATCCACCAGCTCATTGCGATCGTCCCAATGCACATAATCCATTGCGTTGTCGTTCAGTGTCATTGTGTGAGGTAATCCCTTTCCAGATTTCTTCTTCTGTTTCTTGGGTGTAACCAACATCAACGGCGCGATTACATGTTTGTACTTGTATCCCCTGTTGCTCAATAATCGACCCTGCGAATGATGCTTGTGCTTGTGCGCGTTCGTCATCAACAGCATGCTCTTGTACTTGCATATCGTCTTCCGTTTAGAGGGCATCGTCGGGAATTCTCTGGAAAATCAACTTGTAAAGACCGGGTGTACCGACGTTTCGTATGCCGTCGATAATTATGTTGTCCGTGTCATCCACGTCGAAACATTCATTGCCCCACATCAATCCATCCTTGTGTAGGTAAACGCCATACACATGATCTATACCGCTCTCTTTATCTTGCGCTTCCCTCAGGACAGCCTTGACGTACTTTTGACCCAGCGGACCCAAACTGGCTCGTAACGCCTCTCGACGTTTGCAATTGATTTGGAACCTTCGTCGCTAGCAAGGTTTCGAAAACGTTTTCCAACGACTCTATCGTCGGTACGATTTTGGCACGCGGGGTGGAGGTTATTGGTTCGTGCAACCGATCTGATTTATGCAGAGACGTGGAAGGCTCGAACGTTTCGCTCACTTCTTCTTCCTCCTCTTGTTCCTCCTCCTCCTTCCTCACACGTTTAGGAGCGGACGCTGCATCTTCATCGCGCGATTCTCTCTTCGTCGCGCGCTCGCTGAGGTTGTCGACGAAAAGTCGCAGTGGCTCGATAAGAGGTTTAAAATGTCTATCCAATGCGATACCCTCCTCGATTCTACCGGTCTTCAGAGCGCGATGTTTCTTGCGAATCGATTCGATCGTCTTCTCGATCTCCCTCACGATTTTTTCACGCTCGCGCACATCTGCCATGTTTGTCTCCGGCTAAGTATCGACAACGACTGGTTATGTTACAGTATCGCGAACTCGTTAAATACTTTTCTGTATCGTCCATTTGTTAGCGCACTGTCTTTGTCTATCACTACGAATCCATATTTTTGTTGCCAACAGTCGCAGCACAACGCGCAAAATTCGTCGTACGACATGTCGGTATTCACGTGATCGTTGTAAAAGTGTTTCAAGTTGGTACCAACCTGTTTGAACAGGATCAGCAGGTTCGCGTTGTCACGTATCAGATGTTTAGGTATCCTCGCATACGTCTAACAAAGATAGAAGCAGTCGACGTTCGCATGACGACCCATCGAAAAATATTCTCTCACTGCATCCTGCTTGTCGCATGCCACGTCACCAAAGATAAAAATAGAATTTGGACGCGCCTCGCTCGGTGAAACGACGTCGCTGTTGTTGGAGAACGTAAAGTAACCAATTTCATCGATAGACGTAAACAAATTTTCGAGATATTGATACTTTGGCTGTTGCAACGATTTCGAATAGACATACACATTCTCGAAACGTACACCGTTCGGACCCTCGAGTAAGCTTATAAGAACGTTGGTTTTACCGCAATTCGACGGGCCGCAAATAATCGCACGTATAGTACTCGACAGTATTTCGCCGTGTTTGCGCTTCCCCACGCCGCTTCCTATTATTCGCGATTTCGGGTCGCAGTTCATGACGTGTATCGCAAGCGGTTGCAGCACGAATTTCATTCTCGCACTACAGGTTGTGCGCTCTCAACCGCCTATTTAAAGGCGCGCGAATCCGCAAGTCGCGCAGTAATAAAATGTATCTCGCGCTGTATCATCCTTCCGACATTCTGGATTTGAGTGCCGAGCAGTTGCAGTATATACTGAAGGTCATACTCTTACGCGTGTACGGCGACTATATCGACTACGTGTGGGACAAACTTCCGGAACACGTGAAGGTGGATTCAGAAGTTCGAACGTATCGTCGCTGCAACGTGCACTACAATCAACCGTGGCAGCGGACGCACATTGATGGTCCGGCACCGAAGATAAAGGTAGCGAATGTCGACGTCACGCGGTAGTCTGTTGAATCGAGTAATAAACGCGCTTCCTTTCGAGTTACATATTCCAGGCGATCAGTTTTGTGGCCCGGGTACTCGGCTGACGAAGCGATTAGTCAGAGGTGATACGGGTATAAATCCGCTGGATGCGGCGTGCCGAGAACACGACATTGAGTATTCTCGGAGCAACGATCTCACCGATAGACACGCGGCGGACAAGGTACTCGCCGATAAAGCACTAGGACGCGTCACCGCGAGAGATTCGACTCTGAGGGAGAGAGCCACCGCTGCTGCCGTTTGGACAGCGATGAAAACCAAGACCACGATCGGCATGGGCATGAAACCGCAGAAGAAGAAGACGATGAGGAAAATACAACGAAAAAACGAATACTACCGACGGCGAAACGAGGCGGCATGTTACCGTTTCTACCAATGTTGGGCGCGCTCGGATCCTTGATTGGAGGAGCGGCCGGCGTAGCGAAAGCGGGAAACGACAGCAAAGCCGTGCGACGTCAGCTCGAGGAGCTGCAACGTCACGATCGCGCGATGAAACAGGGTAGCGGACTGTATCTCGCTCCGCACAAATACGGACGTGGACTGTATCTCAACCCCTACAAACGTGGACAGGGCGTAGCAGCGAAGAAAAAAAAACGCAAAAGAAACGATAAAAATGCCCTCGGGTGCAACTATCAACGTGCAATTAGACCTGCTCGCGAGACGTATGCGCGTACCGTACTTTAGAGGTGTTTTCATGCGTAACGCGTTACCGACGAGCGGCACGCGTCGAAACGAAAGCGGTATCGTGAATCTAGACGATGCGACGAGACCCGGTACTCACTGGGTAGCGTACGCGAAGAGGAACAACCGCGTCGTGTACTTTGACAGTTTCGGTAATCTTCGACCGCCCGAGGAACTGGTGCGATATTTCGGGATCGATGTTACGACGATAGAATACAATCGCACGTCCTATCAGACGTACGATCAGAGCTTCTGCGGACAGATGTGTCTGTGGTTTCTACGAACGGTCGACGCTCGTGAATTTAAAAAGTTCGACTAGGTGCCATGAAATCTCAGTAACGCTTTTTCCGTCATGTCTCTGACACTTACACTGAGCGGGAAGAGCAGCCTCCTCGCGGCGAACTACTTCCCCGCCATAGATTTGAGTGACAGTGATTACGAGCTCGGCCTGATAATTTTTGAGACTTATCACACGATACCGAACGTAAACGAGTCAAACAATAAATTTTATTTCGATAAAGATGACGCAGAAATTACAATTCCCGAGGATTCGTACGAAGTTCGAGACATAAATGAATTTTTGAAACGTGCGATTTTACGTTCGCGCCGCGACGCGCTTGAAACCGTTGACATAGTGCTTTTGCGTGGTGGCAATAGCAATAGCAACAATATCAACTCTAACACCGATGACGACGACGACGATGGCGAAGATGCGGAATAGCCAATAACAATCCGTGCAAACTACAACACGATGAGATATGAGATCAGATGCGCCTACAGAATAAACTTTGACAAGCCCAACAGCATTGGATCGCTGCTGGGATTCTCGTCGAAGCGTATACTGCGATCGCGAAAATGGCACGAATCTGACGTATCGATCAACATAATGAACGTGAACGTTATCCGCGTAGAACGTAACGTAACCGCGGGCGCGTACAGCAACGGCAAAGGTGCACACACGATACACGAATTTTCCCCGAGCGTGCCACCGGGATATAAGATATCGGAAAGGCCCGCGCAGATCATTTACTTGCCGATCACCGCACCGAGCATTATGGATCTAACGATACGCGTCGTCGACCAGAACGGACGATTGCTCGATTTTCGCGGAGAGATCACCGTTAGATTGCACGTGCGACAGCGACAGCGATAACGCGAGCGTGAGATGCTTACATTGAACGGAGCGGAGCGTACGCAGAGAAATAACGAATTCTTTACAAGGCCTGTGACGTCACAGCTCGATACCTGAACACTCGCTCACCTAGCTGCATCAGCAAGAAAAAGCTCAGTGCGTTGAATGTTAAATTTTTACAATCTTTGGGATTCGCGGTGCGCAACTTTTGAGATGATTGATATCTTGAATATTACCGGTGAGCCGATCTTTGACGCATCGTCAAGATCGAGACTAAAGCCCGTATCCGACTCTGCAAGCCGACCCGACTGCCAACTCTGGCTGTTGACCAATAATGGACCAATCACATTGAATCAGTCATATTGTGATTGGTCCATTATTGATTGGCAGTCGGGTCGGCCTGCAGAATCGGTAGTCTGATACGGGCTTCACACGTACAACTCGTTCGCCAATACAACGTTCGGGTACAGCGACGAGATAAGAATACCCATACAGCAACAGGATTTGTACACGTTGCCGTGCGAAAGTATTCTCTACGTAGAAAGAAGATTGACGGTGAAAAAGAAAAACGATCAAACGCCAACGACGCTTGTAAATAATTGTGTGGCACTCATGTTTGATGAAATTCGATATGAACTCAACGGTGTGGAAATTGACCGCAACAGAAACGTGGGCATAACTAGAACGCTCAAGAATTACGTGTCGCTGACGTATGACAAATCTTTGATTGCGCTGAACGCTGGATGGAACACTAGATCTGACACAGAGGAAGGACACTTTAATTTTTGCGTGCCGCTCAGCATGCTGTTGGGCTTTTGTGAAGATTACAAACGCCTGATCGTCAACGTTCGCCACGAATTGATTTTGATACGAGCGCGCAACGACAACAATTGCTTGGTGGGAAATCCAGTGACGGAGTCTGAAATTGAATTATTCAAAGTACAGTGGCGGATGCCTCACGTTGCGTTAAACGAGATCAATAAATTATCAATGCT